CTTTAGACTGTCGTGGTATTGACTAAGCATCTTTTTTAACTTCCTCCTCTGTGCTCCAGATAGTCTTTTCTTAGTAATAGGGAGTTTAGCTATGCTATCACTCACCTGTTTCACCATTTGCTCTTTTTCATCCTTTTTGGGATTTGTTATAATGGTGTTATCATCATCTGAGGATTCAGAGCCGGAGTCCTCACCTATATTTAAAGGCTGAGGTAGCTTAGAGCTCTCTCGTTGAATACATCCTTCTCTTTCACCCCTATGGAGGCCAAGGTATCCACCTCCGTAGTACTATTTTCCTCACGATTGCAGGATGATGACGACACGTGACTCACGAGTAGATCAATACTTGCCGCCTCGGTTATTTAGGCCCTGCACCGTAATTTCATCTTTTTATTTTCCATGTTGTTTCTTTCAGTTTTTTGGTCTGCGGGGAATATAATATTCCCAGGTGGTAGACAATCTACCCTCCCTCAACTTAAGCGACTCTAAAGATGGGGGAGGATAGATGGTCCGGTAGGAAAAACTCCCCCGAGTTTTCCAGTTTTTAACTTTTCGACTTTCCACTTTCCCAAAGATCTAGCCGACAGATATTTTGCACGGAAGGATTTTTTAATCCTCAATCCTTCTAATCCACATTCCAAGAAGTTTTTGGCGCGACACTTCTTAGATCCCGTATAATTTGGAAGAAACCAAATTTCCAAGGATCTAGTCTACCGATTTTTTACACGGAAGGATTTTTTCAATCCCTACCATGCAGTATATGCATGTAAAGTCGACACTTCGACTTTTACAATTTTAACTTATCGACTTTCCACTTTCCCAAAGATCTAGCCGGCAGATATTTTGCACGAAGGATTTTTTAATCCTTAATCCTTTTAACCCACACTCCATAGATCCTATACAGTTTACCAGCAACGATTTTACTGACCATTTTGGAAGAATCTAATATTCCAAGGATTTAGTCTAGTCTTACCATGTCTCCTACCATATTCCAAGGAGTTTTTGGCGCGATGCTCCTTAGATCCTATACAGTTTACGAGCAATAATTTTACTGACCATTTTGGAAGAATCCAATTTTCCAAGGATATAATCTTGATTCCTTTTTGTGTTTCCCACCACTTTCCATTGAGTTTTCCATGTTATTTTTTACTTGCTATGTAATTTATTTTTCCCCTGTGGTGTTACCACTTAATTCCCAAAAACTCGAATTTTTTTCTCTGCCGTTGCTATTTTTCGTTGCTGTCTGGAAGGACGTTTGGTTTTAGTATATTATATGTTGGGTTTCGTTCCCGGGAAGCGTCGTTAAAAAATTCCCGTGAAATGTAGTGATTTTTAACTTCCCGATTCCCGGGAATTTTTAACTAGTAAAAATGCAACCATTCTTAGTGTAACACATTTTATACAACAAAACTGAACAGGTATTCCTTCAAAATGTTGCCCGCTGGACACATCATACGCATATGTATGTATTTAAAAAGAAAATATTAAAGTATTTTATTTATTCTGTTAGGTCACCGTATAACATTTCAATTTGAATTGTATTTAAATTTTGTTCATATTTTTGGCTCACTGTTGCCACTGTAATTTGTCATTATTTTTTACTCTTACTAAACACTGTACTTATTTTTGGTAATGACCCGTTAAGGCCCAACTATAATGTGCATAAGCTTGCTTAAGGTAATGTCAAAATCGAACGAAAAGTCTCTCAAATGCTTAAGGAAATCCGAGGAAACTTTTAGGTGGCTGTAATGTACTTATGTGCATTCAAAACAATTTAGCTCTATTTGCACATTTATGTGACACACGTAATAAAAAAATACATATTTCAAAATATTTTATTGAAATAAATTCATTTTCTTGTAGCTTTCAATTTTTTTTCTTTATTTTCTTTGTGTATAATAAACAAACAATTGATTCCTTACGTAATGTGCTGTCAGTATCGCTCTTTGCTTAATCAAATAAAATTTGACGAAACTTGACGAAACACATTATAGTTTGTCACATACATTTTATATGTGTTCGCACAGTTGCTTAAGCTGACTTTAGTTTGTTTAAGCATATTATAGTTAGGCCTTTAGTTTTTATTATTTGTTTCTCACTTCAATTCTTATTACAAAATGCAATTTATTATTTTGGAGACTTATTGCATGTATTTTGTTTTTGCATATTTTGAATATAAGTAAACAAGTTGAGTTGGTACATTGGAAGTGAGAAACAAATAATATGACAACAACAACAGTATAGCCCTTATTTACATGATCAATTGTTAGGCTTAAGAAAATAATGTTTAAATAAATAAAATCATTGTCATAGTTGAATTCAATCAAGCATCATCGTTCTTTTTACTTGTCTCGGTACCACGGTCGCACAGTGGTATAGGAAAAAAAAGAGAGGGAAATAATTCGGTAACTTCTAAACGGTTAATCCGATTTTAATGAAATTTGGTATGCACAAAGAGGAGGTGTTGTTGAGTTTAGGTTTTGAATTTGGACCTTATAGGCCAACCAGGGTCCTCAAATTAGGACACCTCGGCTATGTTAAATTTTTAAAACGATCCTATTTCTTCATTTGAGTTCCGATTTAAAAAAAATGTCGCATATAGAATCTCCTCATCGAGCACTATAAAAAATGTCGTCGTAGCAGTAAATTATCTCTTATAGTTTAGGAGATATTCGCATTTGAAAATTAAAATTTTAAAATTTTTACCGTCCTTACTTTAGTTTTTTTGATAATAGCGGGTCCAAATATTCCCGATTTTCGCCATTTTTTTTTATTCGCTTAACAACAAGTTTATATATCAAGCAGTGAAAGAATTATGTAAAAATCATGACTGAGTCCAAAGTTATAGGCACTTTAATTTAAAAAATAAAAAAAGGCGATTTTTTTGTCATTTTTTTTGGGAAAAAAGTATCTTTTTCTTTTTAAGTTATCTAAAAAGTTTCTAAGAAGATGTATATAGAATTTATACTTTTTGGAAAGCTGACTTTACATAAAGTACGATAAATGAAACAAAACCTAAAAATTTTTGATACCGAGGGGACCAGGTCCATCCAAAAAAACCCTATTTTTTATGGAAAATTCAATTTTGAGCAAAAATTCTCAAATCGCATAGTCGATATCAAATTATAGTGACCTGTTTTATATGACCCAATATGTTCTTAATCATTTTGTAACAGGTTTTTTTTAAAAAAAGTATTCCGCGAATTTTTTAATTTTCAAAAATTATATACAGTTTTGAAAAATAGACAAAATTACCTTTCCATTGATATATAACATGCCTACCTAATGTTTTTTAAGTGACAAATTAATTAGGGAAAACTCAACATCTTTTAGAAAATTTACATAGCACTATTATTTTCATCCATAAGGTTAACTCTTAAATTTGTTACATATATGGATGAAAATAATAGTGCTAGGTAAATTTTCTAAAAGATGTTTAGTTTTCCCTAATTAATTTGTCACTTAAAAAACATTAGGTAGGCATGTTATATATCAATGGAAAGGTAATTTTGTCTATTTTTCAAAACTGTATATAATTTTTAAAAATTAAAAAATTCGCGGAATACTTTTTTTAAAAAAAATTAAAAAATGTTTTTTATTCAGTTTTTGCGAAGATACAATTTTTTCAAATTGCAATAAATATTATTTATTTTATATAATATTTATGAATATTTTTTGATGAAATTTTACAGTTAGGTAGATTTTTTACTTAAAATCCAAAATTAAATAAAAATTTCGAATTTTCTTATTAGAAATCCCGGAATTCCCAAAAAAAGTTTTAAAAAATCCCAAAATTGGGATTTTTTGGTTTTTTGCCTATTATATCCATACCAGGGGCGGGGTTATCGAAACCCGTTACAAAATGATTAAGAACATATTGGGTCATATAAAACAGGTCACTATAATTTGATATTGACTATGCGATTTGAGAATTTTTGCTCAAAATTGAATTTTCCATAAAAATAGGGTTTTTTTGGATGGACCTGGTCCCCTCGGTATCAAAAATTTTTAGGTTTTGTTTCATTTATCGTACTTTATGTAAAGTCAGCTTTCCAAAAAGTATAAATTCTATATACATCTTCTTAGAAACTTTTTAGATAACTGACAAAAAATCGCCTTTTTTTATTTTTTAAATTAAAATGCCTATAACTTTGGACTCAGTCATGATTTTTACATAATTCTTTCACTGCTTGATATATAAACTTGTTGTTAAGCGAATAAAAAAAATGGCGAAAATCGGGAATATTTGGACCCGCTATTATCAAAAAAACTAAAGTAAGGACGGTAAAAATTTTAAAATTTTAATTTTCAAATGCGAATATCTCCTAAACTATAAGAGATAATTTACTGCTACGACATTTTTTATAGTGCTCGATGAGGAGATTCTATATACGAAATTTTTTTTAAATCGGAACTCAAATGAAGAAATAGGATCGTTTTAAAAATTTAACATAGCCTAGGTGTCCTAATTTGAGGACCCCCCGCCGGGCCCCTGGTTGGCCTATAAGGTCCAAATTCAAAACCTAAACTCAACAACACCTCCTCTTTGTGCATACCAAATTTCATTAAAATCGGATTAACCGTTTAGAAGTTACCGAATTATTTCCCTCTTTTTTTTTTCCTATACCACTGTGCGTCACAATGCTTTTACATTTAATATTGAACTAATTATTATAATCTTATTTTATTTATTATATGTCTGTAACTCTGCGCGCAGTTTTCTGTGTCTGTTCTTTTTTCTCTTTTCACATTGATAATATGAAGCATCTCCAACATATATCGTTTGTTGTTTTTGTTTTCCCTCTGTAAGATTTCAATGTTGTCTAAGTTGGGAATGTGACCTCTTTCTGCACAGTGGGACATGAGTGCAGTTTTTTGTGTACTTAATTTATTCTTGTATCTTAAATCAGATCTGTGTCCAGCTATTCTTGTCCTTAATATATTCTTGGTTGTTCCTATATATACCTGTTCACATGCTTCTGAACCGTCACCATTGCATTTTATTTTATATTATCCATTTTATCGATCTCACTCTTAGTACTAGAAAATAATTGTCTAAGTGTATTGTTTGTCGTTGAAGCTATCCTATATCTTTCCCTATTGTATATTCCTGAGTTTTCCAATCTCTCCGATATTCCAGGTACATATGTCATCGATTTATATATCACAGGTTCCGCTTCATCTTTCCTGCATTTCCTTTTATTGTCCCTAAGTAGATTTTTAATGATGTCCATTGGGAATGCGTTCATTCTTAGTATTTTAATTATCCTATCTTTGTTGTTTTTATGGAACTTTTCGTCGCTTATTGTCAAGACTCTTTTAATAAAGGTTCCAATCATATTCATTATCACATGTTTGGGCTGGCAGGAGTAGAAATTGATATTGCGTCCTGATGCTGTCGGTTTTTGATACCAATCCATTCTTATATCTTCACCATCTCTCATTATCACTGTGTCCAAATATGGCAATCTACAATTGTCTTCCTCCTCTATTGTAAATTGAATTTGTCTGTGAAAGTTATTGAATACCTTGAGGGTATCATCTATTGCACTATTTTTTATAATCTCAAAAAGGTCGTCTTCATATTTTGTCAAGAATCTAGGTTTTTCATTTAATTGTCCAATACAGGTATTTAATAGTTCTTCCATAACTATATCAGCCACAACCGGCGAGGCCGGTGAGCCCATTGGTAATCCTTTACATTGTGTGTAGATTTTGTCCTTGTATTTGAAATAGCGGTTCTCCTTAATGCAGAACTTTAATATTCGCATATATAAATTCCTGGGTATAGTCGTATGTTTCTCCAGTTCGTCCCATTTATCATCTATTACTCTAATGGCATAATCTACTGTTATACTAGGAAATAAGGAAATTACATCAAATGATACCATCTTTTCTTTCTTTATCTTGGCGTTGTTCAACCTGTCCTTAAATTGCACTGCATCCCGTATGTTATATTCTGAATTCTCCGTGAGTTTTTTCAGAATTCCGGTTAGAAGCTGGCATAAACCACTAGCTGGAGAATTTACTGATGCACAGATTGGTCTAAGTGGGAAGTTACCCTTATGGATTTTAGGAAGTCCATATATTCTGGGCGCTGTCGCTGCGTCATTTTTAAGTGTTGTTCTTTCTAGGTTAGATAAAATATTGCACCTAAAAAGTTCATCTACCAGGTCCCCATTCTTCTTTTGTAATGATGATGTCGGATCTTTATTCATTCTTCTATAAGTCATCATATCGCCAAGTATATCATTCATTCTCGTTTCATAGTCTTCCTTATTCATCATAACCGTCGCATTTCCCTTATCTGCATTTAAAACCAAGATCTGTTTATTTTTGTGCAAAAAACGTCTAGTGTTGTCCACTATGCTTAATATAAAACGTTCTCTTCCAGTTAGATTGTGTTTGTTGATGTGGTTTTCCAACATTGATACAAATTTTGTTCTTGTAATCCCTTGTTCTTCTCTATCTTCTAGAGTTTGTATACAAAATCTTCTAGAGTTTGTATACAATCCTCCCCATCAGCAATAAGTTTAAATAAAGGGAAATTCTTCTTATCAGTCGGGATAGAGCATTTTTGTCCCAGCGAGAGTAACCACTGTATATCGTCTGGTATGTTCGTATCTGTCTTATTGACGAACCATTTTTCATTATGAATTATACCTAGGTTCTCTCTCTGTTTCTCCTTCAATTTCTCAAATTTCTTCTTGTGTCCGCTGGGACAAAAATACTTTATCCCGACTGATAAGAAGAATTTCCCGGAATTCTGAAAAAACTCACGGAGAATTCAGAATATAACATACGGGATGCAGTGCAATTTAAGGACAGGTTGAACAACGCCAAGATAAATTCAGACGAAAAGATGGTATCATTTGATGTAATAGATGACAAATGGGACGAACTGGAGAAACATACGACTATACCCAGGAATTTATTTATGCGAATATTAAAGTTCTGCATTAAGGAGAACCGCTATTTCAAATACAAGGACAAAATCTACACACAATGTAAAGGATTACCAATGGGCTCACCGGCCTCGCCGGTTGTGGCTGATATAGTTATGGAAGAACTATTAAATACCTGTATTGGACAATTAAATGAAAAACCTAGATTCTTGACAAAATATGAAGACGACCTTTTTGGGATTATAAAAAATAGTGCAATAGATGATACCCTCAAGGTATTCAATAACTTTCACAGACAAATTCAATTTACAATAGAGGAGGAAGACAATTGTAGATTGCCATATTTGGACACAGTGATAATGAGAGATGGTGAAGATATAAGAATGGATTGGTATCAAAAACCGACAGCATCAGGACGCAATATCAATTTCTACTCCTGCCAGCCCAAACATGTGATAATGAATATGACCGGAACCTTTATTAAAAGAGTCTTGACAATAAGCGACGAAAAGTTTCATAAAGACAACAAAGATAGGATAATTAAAATACTAAGAATGAACGCATCCCCAAAGGACATCATTAAAAATCTACCTAAGGACAATAAAAGAAATGCAGGAAATATGATGCGGAACCTGTGATATATAAATCGATGACATATGTACCTGGAATATCGGAGAGATTGGAAAACTCAGGAATATACAATAGGGAAAGATATAGGATAGCTTCAACGACAAACAATACACTTAGACAATTATTTTCTAATACTAAGAGTAAGATCGATAAAATGGATAATATAAAATAAAATGCAATGGTGACGGTTCAGAAGCATGTGAACAGGTATATATAGGAACAACCAAGAATAAATTAAGGACAAGAATAGCTGGACACAGATCTGATCTAAGAAACAAGAATAAATTAAGTACACAAAAAACTGCACTCATGTCCCACTGTGCAGAGAGAGGTCACATTCCCAACTTAGACAACATTGAAATCTTACAGAGGGAAAACAAAAACAACAAACGATATATGTTGGAGATGCTTCATATTATCAATGTGAAAAGAGAAAAAAGAATGAACTACAAAACAGACACAGAAAACTGCGCGCAGAGTTACAGACATATAATAAAAAAAATAAGATTATAATAATTAGTGCAATATTAAATGTAAAAGCGTTGTGACGTGCTTTTATTGTTTGTTTATTGTTACTCATTTTGTAAGTGAAAATGTTTTGTTTGTTATTGTTCTTGAAACAGTGGTTTAGTAAATATTTTTTGTTAATAAAATAATTGTAGATTCCTGAAGATGCTATCCAGTGGATGGCGAAATATTGAAGAAAATAAATAAATAAATTGAAGAATTTAATAAAACTTTGACCTCGAGCTCGTTTAATAATTTGATTTGAAGAAATTGAAAGGTCGAATAAAATATTAATATTTAATATAAAATAGTGACTGTAAAATTTTACCGCTAATTTTTATATACAAGAAAATACATAAATTTGTTCGCTCTTGGTTCCAGTATATAATATAAAATTCTGTGTGAAGCAGGAGGTGAATGAAATTTTAATTCGTGGTTCGTTTCAGTTGGATAAGTGGCACTCAAATCATAGGGATTTTCAAGACGATAAAACTATCAAAGACCTTAATATTGAAGATTCTGCCGTAACTAGCGCTCTTGGTATTACTTGGGACCAACAAAAAGACGTTTTCCTATTCTCGTTTTTGCCTAAAGTCCAAATTGATGAAAAAATCACCAAACGAACAATTTTGTCGCTCTCGTCAGCGCTTTTCGATCCACTAGGACTTTTATCTCCCCTCATTACAAAGGCTAAAATCATCATGCAAGAGTTGTGGATTCTCAAAATTGGCTGGGATGAGTCTGTACCTCAAGAAATACACTCGGCTTGGGAATGTCTCTGATCTCAAACTACTAAGTTCCCTCAAAATTCCTCGTTTTTGTCTCGCTCCTGATTCTAAAACTTCTTCAGGAAATAATTCTGTTCGGCTCTTCACTGCCAAATCTAGAGTTACTCTTACGAAGCGAAAATCGTTGCCCAAATTTGAATTGTGTGGAGCACATCTTCTAGCGAAACTGTACTCCAAAATCAAAGGCCTTTTCGCAATACCAAATTTGGAAGTCGTTCTGTGGACAGATTCGCAACTAGTTCTTCACTGGCTAAAGCAACATTCTTCCACTTTATCCGTTTTTGTTGGCAACAGGGTATCAGAAATTCAAGATCTAACTAATGGCTGCGTTTGGCGACATGTCCCAAATCATTTCAACCCTGCTGACATCGTTTCTCGTGGTTCAACTGTTCAGGAACTCGCCTCATCCATCTGGTTCAACGGACCAGCATTTCTTGTTCTCGATCCTGTTCAGTGGCCCCCTACTAAAGTGGATAAACTCTGCGAAGAAAATCAGCAAGTCTTCTACAAAGAAAAACGTAAAACTGTACTTTGTCTCGAAGCAAAATCTAACTACATTCTGGATTCTATTGGAAAATATAGCTCGTACCTAAAAATCATTCGTATTATTGCCTGGATGTTTCGTTTTGTTCAAAAAACAAAAACTAATATTTCCAATTCTGACTCTTTGCAGCCCCAAAAATTAGAAAATGTTAAACTTTGTATCGTTTTCAACATCCAGAAACTACATTTTCAAGATGACATAACTCGAGCTCTAAAGAAGAAAGATCCCCAAGGTGCTTTAAAGTGTCTGAACCCCTTCCTAGATTCATCAAATGCTTTCAACTCGCTCAAGGTCTGCGGTCGCTTGGAGTACGCAGCGATTTCTGAAGGCCAGAAACACCCCATAATCTTGCCCAACAAATGCCATTTCGTCCACTGTTACGTACGTCATCTGCACATCAGTAACTACCATGCTGGACCCAAGGCTCTAATGTCGTTGATTCGCCAACAATTTTGGATCATCAACTCCAGGAATTTGTGTCGTCGCATTGTTAATTTGTGTCCCCAATGCATTCCATATCGCCCAAAGTTGCTGCAACAAATGATGGGAAATTTGCCTGTGGAACGACTCAACCCGTCAAGTACCTTCGCAAGGTGTGCTGTCGATTTTTGTGGTCCAGTCAACACCTAACTAGGAATTAGTGGTCACCTACAAGACATACATCGCTATATTTGTTTGTCTCGCCACCAAAGCTGTCCATATTGAAGTGGTATCCGACCTATCAACAGATACCTTCATTGCTGCCCTAAAATGGATGATTGGTCGTAGAGGTCTGCCCACAGATATATTCTGTGATAATGCAACAAATTTCGTTGGTGCAAATTCTAACTTGACTCAATTAAAGTCGTTCCTTTTTGAGCCAAAAAATTAAAATTTTATTACAAATTATTGCTCGAACCAATTCATTAATTTCCGTTTTATTCCCCCTAGGGCACCACATTTTGGCGGATTGTGGGAGGCGGCCGTCAAATCGGCCAAAGGTCACCTAACCAGAACCCTGGACAACACAACGCAACAAATGGACTAGCACCAACTCTAATATTACTCCTGTTCTCTGGTCATTATCAAAGAGGATAATTTACCCCCGCAGCCAGGTTTGGTCTTGGCACTATCAGGTTCCGGTACCCGAAACATGACAGAACCCAAGAAATTTCTAGTGGTGCAGATAAACCTGCATCACTGTGAAGCAGCTTCAGCCGATTTCGTAACCTTCCTCATCGATGCACAGACGGACGTGGCCCTTATCCAGGAACCATGGATTAACAACAAGGTTTTTGGTTTGAGGGTCAAAGGTTACACTTTATTTGTCCCGTCTTCTGAGGACAAGGTAAGGATTTCTATCCTGGCAAAGAATATATTAGGTATTCTCATTTCTCATTCTTTTAGGAGCCGTAAAAAACAGAGAAGCCAAAGGTAGGCGTACGCTCACACTGGCTTCGGTGTATATGCCGTACGAGGCGACTGACCCACCCGGCTCTGAGGTGCATGAGCTGACGGCATATGCGAGAAGAAAAAGT